GAAATACGTGCTGGAATTCTCTATCATCTCATAAGATTTAATCTGTAAATTCTCTACTGTTGTTTGTTTTTAACAAAAAGAATATGAAATTATTACTTCTCCTTGATGGTTAAGTGATAACAAGTAAATCCACAAGAAGGCTGAGCATTCTCCAAAGCGTCCACTCACCACTTTGAAGTTAATGAACTTTGAAACGAAATTGATTCCAATTCCCAAATGGAAGAAGATAAAGTCAAAGCGAGGCATTGAGCATCAATGCTCCAAAATCCACCTTCCAATGAATTTACATCATTAGCCTGCAGTTTCAAAGATTATATTATGTATATAAGTGAATTTAATTAATTGTTTTCCCTTTTCATGTTTTACAAGACCAAAGAGGAATATATATACCAAAGATCATTAGCCCTGCAGTTTCAAAGATTATATTATGTATATAAGTGAATTTAATTAATTGTTTTCCTTTTCATGTTTTACAAGACCAAAGAGAGATATATATACCAAGTCTCATCAAATATCATTTCTTTGAATTTCAAGTATTCTGTGGCGGTGATTGGTTCAACAGCGAGATCAGCAGAGTTAACTTTAACATGTTCCCAGAACCCAGGACTTGGTCTCATTGCAAAAGCTACATATGGAGGATTAACAACTGCTTCCTGCAAATTGGAATGCAATTTTTCTCAGAGAACTTTTTGTTATCCTATGATTATGAAACAAAGGGAAGACACGTACCTGAGTAGAGAACCAAATGTATCCTAGCAAACCTTCTAATACCTTAGTTCTTTCAAACTTATCATCTATCACATTCTCCATTTCATCTAAAAGATGTTGAAGTTTCATTATCCTTCTTCCCTTTTGCACGAACTTGGAGAAACACTTCTTAATATGATACCGGCGTTGCCTCAACGCCTCCGGTATACTGTCGGAGATAGAGTTTGAACGCTTTAAGGTTGGTGCTGAAGAAGCCATTTGAATGCTAGCAAATAAAATTTAAGGACTGTAAATGAAATTTAAACTCCATTATGATTTGTCATTTGAAGTGTTTCTGAATTTATAAAGCAATGGATTGGAGGACTACATGCAGATACGTGTTCAGTGTATGTAAGTTTGCTTTTGATGAAATCAATTGATTGGAATTGAATTTAGATTTCTTTCCTTTGGGAGAAAATGAGTCCAGCAGAGGAGAGTGCCAGAGGAGAAAGAACATTACTTGAGGTGACAAAGGAAAAGAAAAGAACAGAAAAAGAAGAGAAAAGAAGTAATAATGTATGTGCTAAGGAGAGATTATTGGTTAAAAAGGAAATATTATTATTCTTTTCTTTCCGTGATTGTAAGAAACAAATCAAGAAATCTAAGCTTCCATCTTCACGTCAACTCTTTCTTTGTCTCATCGTTGTGTATGCTTATAAATGGTAACTTTTTAATGGTTGCACATTTTCCATTTCAGTAGTCTCTTCTAGGTTGCAAGGAAAACTGAACTGAGAGATGTTTGGCCTTGTTCATTTGTGGGAAAAAGGCGTTAGTTTTTCAGAAAATTTTTCCAAGAAAACAGTTTTCTTGGAAAACGTGTTCAAATTTCCCCTTTTTTTTTCCTATTAGTTTCCCAGGAAAATGCACACTTTCGATTTTTTTTACTAAAAAATAATCTGTTATATCAATTTAGTTTGATTCGAACCGAATTTCATACTCACCCCGAGCTATCCCAGCTAATTATTTCACATGTCATGATGAATTTTAATTCTTTTCGACTTATCTATGAATCCAAAAAAAATATGAGGTAAGTTTAGAAATAAATTTGATATAGGAATATTTCCTAATTAATATAAAGATGTGTTAATTATATACTTCATGGTTTGATCTTCAATTCTTAATCAGTTTTAAGGGATAAACTAGAAATTTATTGGACCTTTGTTAGCATCAAAATCAAGAAATTTAATTAACTTATTTCGGCCAAGTGTTGCACTACAAATACATTAATATCTGCATATTAATAAGAATTAATAAATATATAAATAAATGTACTACCATCATAAATATTTGATAGTTGATAAAAGCATGATAAAAATTTTTACTAACACTATCATAAATATGCTAGGCTAAATCATTTTTTTCCTCTGACTGTTTCGAATTGTTCCATTTTCCCCTAAAATGCATTTGTTCTTTGTGTACTCCAAATTGCACTTTTCGTTTTAATTATACCCTAATTTCAAAATTACACTTAATTGAATAATAAAAATATTAATTACGGGATTCACTCTAGTACATGGGTTAGCTTAACCATCATAATTAAAACAAGCAAAACACCCTATTTTTGCATTTAAGCTTGAATACATAAGTGACATTCTTTAACCTACTGATTCGATGGAAGGATCTCTCCTCTCTATCTCCATGTCTTACCTCTCTGATTCTCAAACTCGCACTTTCTTCTTCTCCTCTTTCTATTATATACTAGAAAATAAAGGGTCTTATTTTGCTGCAGTAACCTCAAATTATTGAACTAATTTTTGAGATTAAGATAGTATTTTAAAAAAAGTTAACTCATGTACAAACTTAGCTTTTAGATACTACTAAAGCAGTTAACAGCTAATTTTATCGAACAGAGCGTAAATATAATCATGTAATTTTTTGTAGTTTTTGTTTTTCTGTGAAATAAGTTTTCAATTTGAATAACGTGGCCTTGATTAGATTTGCATTAATGCGAAAAGAATGATAACCTTCATCTTATAGCAAAACATATCCTAGTTACGTTCTCATGATTTTACATAGTTAGAGATAGGAATGAGACGGGTATTTTAGAATATCTGCTTCGCTCCAATCTATTTAATGAGGGTGTAGATAGTTATAAATGGATTTTAGACAGATACGGATAATGAAATTATTATCCGTAACGAATGCGGGTAGGGTACGGGTATTAGTCTCTGGGTATCCGCTATAATAAACTGTTTTGGCCATGGGCACCGCGGGTACCCCACCCATTTATTAGCATTTTAAATACGTTTGAGTTTATATAGTTTAAAATTGACGGATACTCTATTCGTTTAAATGGTACTTTAAACGGGTTTTGAACAGATACAATAATAAAATTTTAAACAAATTTGAATACGGGTACTTCAATGGATATTTAAATCGATTTAAAATAGATACGGATAATAAAATTTTAAGCGGAGACGATTATGGATAATTCAAAATTCATGGCTACCCAATCCGCTTCCATTCTCTCCGTACAAACCACACTCCTAAGAGCAAGCCGTAGGTAATATATCATGTGATGTCAATAGTAGCTCCATTGCCATATATTGCATATGCACAAGTAATTAACGGTTGTCATTTTCCTCTTTCACCATCGTTTTATTTATCAGTAAAATTACATCCCCCTCTGTCTGGTTTGCAGGCTTCAAGAAGACCCAATGTATCACTCTCTCTCTCTCTTCTTTGTAAGCAAAGCATCCTTTTCTTGAACAGTGTTCGGTTGAATTCAGTTGAGTCTTTAGTTTGAGTTTTAAATGGAAGAAGGGATGGTATTTAAGGGTATTTCAATCTTTTTTTCATATTTTAACGGCAAAAACATAGGAAAATGGATAGAATGACTATTTAATGAGATGGAGGCAAAACTTAGCGCACTGATGAAATAATTATTTTTCTATAAAAATATCCATAAATCTGAAAATCAAAAAGATTCATAATAATTTGAAAAAAATTAAAAAAGAAAATATTCCTTCAATAATAAAATAAACAATAATAATAATTTTTTTATTAAAATAAACAATAGTAAATATTATAAAAATAAAGTTAAACCAACTTATATCTTAGATTACAAGTTAAAGTTTAAATATACGAAATAATTGACTAGATATTAAAGATTGTAATTTTTTTATGCATAAACACAAAGTAAAATTTAGATATCAAATTAGACCGAACATGCAGTGCACGTGCCTTGCACACCTTGCCCTTTAGCCTATCAGGGTTTAAGCGACGACAGACCTGCCTATAAATAGCCAACTCTCAACACCTTTCTTCTTCGTAAGAACGGTGCTAGTCATAAATCTGCGCCTCCGCAAGCTAGCAAGTAACAAATTAGGGTTTTATAGTACTTAAATTTCTGTTTTTTGGATACATTAGGTTTTAAACGCGTCATATTCTGATTACCGTCGTTCAATTACAGCCATCGACGCTGCGTTTGAGGTGACGCGACATCGTTTTTCCCTTTCTGCAAAATTTATTTACGGAGCAAATCTGATTTTTCTTCATTGTCTGCAGATCTGGAGACATGTTTGTTTTGATTTATGTTTTTTTTGGTTTTTTGAGTGAAAAAGAAGAGATGGAGGTGATGAATATTTCCCCAAATGATCTACGCTGAATAAACTGAGCGATTGTTAAATCTCTTGTGAGATTCCAAGCCAGAATTCTGATCCATCCTTTTCGCTTATTTGATTTGAGATTGTTTTAGTTGAATTGGTTTGCGATGGAAGGGATGATTATTTCCCCAGATGAACGAAGTTGAACAAACTGAGCGATCTTTTCTCTAAGGAGAATCAAAGCCAGAAATCTGATCCGTCGTTTTAGTTATAAGTTTATAAATTAGAGAATGAAAATGTGAAAAAATTGAAAGGGATGATTATTTCTCCAGATGATTGAATATGAACAAATTGAGCGATCTTCTCTCTTTGTGGGAGGATTAGTATTAAATTAAGAGTAATATAGGTATTTTATTTAATAATTTATTATAATTTTGATAAATTTAATTATTGTTTTAAGAAATGTAAAATTAGCGATAAGTATTATGAAACAAAGTAATAATATTAAAATTAAAAAAGGATAATAACTGTTTTATTAATAATTTAAAATGACAAATAAAGTAGGAAAAAAAAATTAATTAATGAATTGGAGTGAAAGTTTATAGACCCTAAAATTCAGAAGTGAATCTTAATTCTCTAGGATAGAGAATTAAACATTAAGAGAGATTTGGACAGGGCAAAAAATTATCTAAAAAGGAAAAATCAAGACTTTGTATTGTTGAATGTAATAAATTTTGTTACTTTTCTTCTCTCTCATGCCAAATCCTATGTTTCAAATGCTTGATGAATATTCTTTTGGCATATTGAACCTCTAAACCAATAAAAAATTCTATCATTATTTTTTTTTCTATATTTCTATTATAAATACAATTTCAGCCAAAATTAAACTTCAATTTATTAGTACATCTCTTGAAAACTTCAATTTTAGTAGTTTATAATAATTATTAGTTTGGGAGTTAAGCCATCCATTACGCAGAATGATGAAAATTTGGCAACCCAATCTCCTGAAACATTTAAATTTTGATATTAAAATTAAGAAAAAATTACTATTATGTCCCTGTACATTGATCAAATACACTAGTCAGGACCTGTTTTTTTGTAAACTACATTTTGTAATAAAACTAAAACTTTAAGACCGGTCTATAATCTCTTCGGGTCTGGTTTATTGAACCAGAATCGTTGGTTCGATGAATCGGCTAGGCCTAATCACGGTGAGTGTGAGATTGTCATGAATTTTGGATAGAAAAATGACTTCAATACAATTTTCATGACCAAATTATAAAAAGAAATTGGTTGTTCATAGTCGGTTTAAAATTAACTGTGAAGTGGAGTGGTCATGATTACAGTTAAACAAAAAAAATATATAAAAGAATAGTTACTTACTGCCGGTGATTCTGATAGAAGTTATCAAGCTCGTAATACATAAAAACTGGACTTTTTATTTGTTTTGTGACAATGCTTTTCGCAAGTGTACGAAATCGCAACAAGTAATATATAATGAATAGAATATCGTTTCCACGAGAATTGTATATCAAGTACCAAAATTATGTTAACCTATAATTATTTAAACGGCAGTTTAGGAAAATTGTTTTAAGAATTTAAATTCAATCAAATAAAGATAATAAGGAGAAATCAAGCAAGCAATTTTTTTGATTAAAAGAAATCAAGGATTAAAGATTACTAGAGATTTTGACTTCACTTAATTCTATCCAATTTATTTTATTAGTTCGTTAATCAAATCAAAATAAAGATAATAAGGAGAAATCAAGCAGCAATTTTTTTGATTAAAAGTTTTGATTAAAAGAAATCAAGGATTAAAGATTACTAGAGATTTTGACTTCACTTAATTCTATCCAATTTATTTTATTAGTTCGTTAATCAAATTTAATTGTTTAAGTAGGGGAAACAACCCTAAATTACTAATAAGCTCTCTCGATATATTGTTAGTTATTTTTACCCGGTCTAATTATCTATCTTTTAATAGCACAATCACACATGAATTAAATTATTAAGTTTTATAGTTTGTTTTGTGAATTCATAACCTAAAGTTATTAACTTATGAGAACCCCCATGAGCCAAACCATATAGCTTCCGCATCAAGTTATTATTATCATGTAAATTATCAACTTTTTCATATCAAAAACCCTTCTCACCGATAATGATTAATGAAATAACTCAATCCAAGGGAGAAACTCTTCCTGGAAGCATTAAGTTCAAGAATAAATTATATCTTGAACAAAGAAAAACAAATCTAATATTATAAATTGAAAAAGAAATTAAGCTACATCAAATCTCTAGTATGAGAGTTTAGTTCGACATGAGAGTTTAAGTTCGACCTAGTATGAGAGTTTAGTTCGACACAGTAATTAAATAAAACTCAATAATACTTGATAAAAATTCCATAATCAGAATAATGAAAGAAATAAACAAGATTAAGAGTTTAGAAATAAGAACTAGTCAACAATTAATTTTGGATGGCTTCCTTGAATCTTGGCACAGATCTTGAGCACTTGAAATCTTGAAGAGAGAAAGCTATGTAAGAGAATAATAGAATAAGAGATGCCCTCTACAATGAATCCTTCCTCTCTTTATATAGACTTCTTGGGAAAAAAATCCACCTTGTTTAGGGAATAAATCCCACCTTTTTTAGGGAATAAATTTCACCTTGTTTAGGGAATAAAGTTCTCAGTAGACTTTGAATTTCTCTCCATCATGACTCTTCAATGTGCCTAAATAGGATTAGAATTTGATTTGCATGTCAAGAAGGTATCTTAGGTGAGCCCATGGAAGTGATAAGGAGTGGCTGGCGTTTTTAACTCAAAATAGCACTTGGTTTATACCACGGGCGTGCTGGTAGGCACAGTATGAGCGTGCCGAAACTTGATTCTATGGAGGGTTCAGCACGGGTCGTGCTCAGAGGCACACTTGGAGAAGGACTTATGGCATGGGTGTGCCAAATAGCACGGCTAGGGCTTGCTAGGCTTTGAGTCTCTAGGATGAAATGCAGCACGGGCCATGCTTAGACAAGCATGCCTTTGGGTTGATATCCTCTTTGTGCACGGTCGTGCCATATAGCACGGCTTGGGCGTGCTAGAGTCTGAGTCTCCACTTGATTTTTCTTGAATCCAGCACAGGCGTGCTAATGGGCACGGGTAGGTCATGCTAGAGCCTGAGTGTTTTGCTTTATTTTGTTCTTTTCTGTGCCCAAAACCCTACAAATTTCCTTAAGACCAAGTGAATTATTTCCTTAAGACCAAGTGAATTATGATTGAAAGAAGCTTTACACAAAAACATAAATAAAACTAAATAAAGTAATTAAAAAATACTAATAAATCCTAATAAAACTACATTAAAAATACTATAAAATAATACTATCAAAATTTTCCAAACTTAAACCATTGCTTGTCTTCACGCAACAAAATAAAAGAAAAATACAAGTTAAACAAACTAACAAAGCTAGCTGAATATGGTTGGGGATAATTATTCACAATTTCACAAAGTATCAACAATCATTAACATGAGAATAAATCAAATGTTTCCTATGCTTAATTATATTCTAGCAAAAACTCAATTTTCAATAAAACACATTCTTTAACTTAAACATGAGTTAATAAGATTTTCAACACCGTTAATAAGATTTTCAACACCAATAATTATTCAACTTATGACAAATAGAATATGAATTTTTACAAAAATTATTTAACCTTTAAATAAGATGTTTAAAAATAATTGAACATTCTCATAGGCAAAATTAGTCATCCCTTCTCCACTATTGAAATGCATACAATTTAAAAGATCAAAAGGTCTTTATCTAGGTTGTAATGGGATTTTAGGGATATAATCTTAGTTTAAACAAAGAAAAAGGGTAGCATGGTAGACAAAAGTGCATAATATCAAGATTTTCATTTATATTAAAATAAATTTTTATTTGTAGCTAGGGAGATCAACTTGAAGTTCTTTACTAGCTCAAAATTAGAATACTTTTGGCAAGGTCTCTTCATAACACTTTTGATAATTTCTTCTTTGCTAAAGTTCCCCAAACTTGAATTCTTGATTGATTGCTTCTTTTATGGGGTGTTTATTTTTGAGTTTTTCTGCTTTCTTCGCTTGCTAGTATTAATGAAATTTTCTCTCTTTGGTGTTATGTTTTGATAAAAATCAAATCCTTCAATTATGCATTATTGCACTCAGGGTAGAAAATTAAGTTGGTTTAATGGCCAGGTTTAATAAGGGTGAAATGCCAAATTGATTGCAAAGGTCACACTTTAACTTACTAAATATGAAGTTCAACAAAGAATGCCTAAATCATCTCTTTCTAAATGTAAGCATTTAAAATTTTGCCTCAAAGGGAATTCTAATTTGTTCTGAGAATGCAAATGTTAAATAAATTTAGATTGAAACATACCTATATATATCATAAATTTCACAAACATTAGTGTTTATAATCTTAGAAACAAATAGTTTAAACCAAAGAATAGTGTTAAGTTAAAAATTAAAATTTAAGCTAAAGATAATTAACTTCGAAAAACAACTACATTCATTGCAAGTTAATGAATTACGATAATTTTTAAATTTGCTCACTATTATTACAACCATATTAAACTAAGGAAACAAAGAAAATTAAAATTTTAACTAAAGCTAAAATTTTTCCTCCCCCAACTTAATCTAACACATTGTCCCCCCCAACTTAATCTAGCACATTGTCCCCAATGAGCTTTAAAGCAATTCCCCAAACTTATCATATTATCAATAATGTAACAAAAGAGTAAGAAACTGTAGGGATCATTACCATCATTGTATTGAAAAATATAATAAGATTGAAGGAAGAGATACGACAAGAGCCGGGTGTTGGAGTTTATCAAAGCTATCAAATTAGAAAAACACTAAAAACAAGAAGATATAATATCCACAAACGAACCAAAATTAATCAATATTCAGGTGGTGGAGGTGGATGTGGCTGCAACAATTGAATCACGATTTCGAGTTGACTAGCAATTCCCTGATATTGGCCTTGCATGGTGTCTATACGGGAGTCGAGGCTCCCATGCATAATCTCTATTGACTGGAAATGGTCAGCAATCATGGACTCCATTCCATTTAGGCGAGTATCAAACATGTCCATTCGGGACATCATACGTGCAAGAACTTCATCGTTGGACGAACTTCATAGTTGGACAAAGGTTTAGATGCTCCCTAAAAAGAAGATGGTCAGCAATCATGGACTCCATTCCATTTAGGCGAGTATCAAACATGTCCATTCGGGACATCATACGTGCAAGAACTTCATCGTTGGACAAGTTAGATGCTCCCTAAAAAGAAGGACCAGCTCTAAAAGTACCTGCACCAGAAGAAGTAACAAAACCAGAGAAAGGAGTCAGATTACCCTCCTCCGTATTAGTGTCACCAGCATCCTCAGCCTCCT